TGGCTCTGCACCACCACGCCTCCAGGCTCTGGTAATTGTTCTTTAAARCCAGTTCTGTGCCTGATGTGCACAAGTGACAGGAGCTGGCTGGAGATGGGGAGAGGAAAAGGAGAATCACTGGGTTTTGTTCATGTCTGAGTAAGGCCTGTAGACRTTGGTGAGAGAGGGGGACATGGTCAGTTGAATAATCAGATGCTCTTGTAATGTTTATTCCCATTCAGAATTGTTGTACGAGGATGTATTTACAGTGTGGGAAGTTATTTGGGCAGCAAAGCACATCTCTTCAGAACATTTTGTCCTTTTCATTGCCTTAGCACTTGTGGAAGTTTATCGAGAGATTATCCGTGATAACAACATGGACTTCACTGATATCATCAAGTTTTTTAATGGTAAGAGGCATTTTAATAAAAGTAACAAGACTTTGCTCCTTCTTTTTTTCTGAGACTGTTGTGGTGCCATTCTTGTCATGACAAGCCCCTGCTGATTTTAAGCTCTGAGTCAGTACCACAACCTGCAGCACAAGGGGTTCATCCACTTCTTCTGTATTTAATTCTCCAAAACCAACTCTGGGGATTGTTGCTTGTTACACTAATGAATTAATGCTAATGCTAAATGAGTATTAATGCCAAAGCAGGAAGGTTGTGCTGACAGTTGTTTGTGTCTCTTAGAAATGGCTGAGCACCACGATGCTGCAGAGATCCTGAGGATAGCCAGAGACCTTGTCTACAARGTGCAGACACTGATTGAGAACAAGTGACCATGGCCAGGCTGTCCTGGGGCCTCGCTGGGAGCTACTGGATGGAGCATTCCTTGCACTGTAATTCCAGATGGTGTTTTAATTGCATCTTCCATATCATGTAATAAATAGTGAGGAGATTGGAAACAGACTTTTAAAATCCAAACTTTCCCTTCACGAGATGAGGTTGGTGTTTGATAGTCCTTGTTACACTCACTTTGTATTTCCAAACAAAATCTTTTTGCATTCCCTATTTCCCTCTCTAGAAGACATCTGTCTACATCTTTGTGATGTTGAAAGGGGGGATTTGACCTACTGGAACATTTCTATTTTGACTTACTGCACCTTTAAAGCCTGGATGCACATGSTGTGCTCTGCCAGAAGCTGCCATGGAGGCAAGGCTGGGTTCACTGCTGCAAACGTTGGTTTTGGTCCTTGGAGGAGCACAGTCCTGGACTCACTGTCTTTGCCTTGAACATCAAACAGAATGTCTGAGCTTGTGTTGCTAAAACATTTGTGTTTGTATTTAGCAGCAAGTAAAGCTGATAAGGTTCCTGGGTGGGAGAATGGTCCTGACCCAAATGCCACAGTTCATGGGAGCGGTGAGAGCTGAGGAGCTAAACACCGGTTTGGCTTGGCTGACTGGCTCCTACTGCTCAGTCTACATGGCCCACACACAGCTGCCCTTGTTTTGCTTTGCAGACAGAGCCTGTGACCATTCTCAGCTGCCAGGACCTGCTCTGTGTTGTTCAGGTGAGCAGGTTCAGCCCACGGGCAGGGCCCTGTTCATGCTGGCAGCTCCCTGTGCTGTGCAGAGCCATGGATTCACATCCCATGGTACAGAGCAGATGGCAGTGCCTGCCCAGCCTCTCCACTCACTGCACACTGCTCCTCCTGCTCCTCGTGCTCTGCAGAGCTTTCCAGGGGGAATCTCCCCAGGATCCCACAAACACAAACCAGGAGCAGGAGATCCGTGAGCAGGATCAGCCCTTGYTGGTGAAGGAGCTGGAATGGCAGAGGCTCTGATGGCTGCTGCAGTCTGTGTCCTGTCCCTCCTGCTGGGCACACACTGGGGCACTCACAGCCACTCATCCTCGTGCCCAGGGAGAGCTGGGACTGCAGGAGAACCGGGCTGATGCCACCTCCTCTGCACTGCASCGTGTGGAACTGTCACCTGTGCTCCTCCTGCTGTCCCCAGCTCTGTGGTGTTAACTCAAAGTGKATCTCTGGCTCAGCCAGAGGGAGGAAGCAGGTTCTTGCCCATGGAGTCAGCTGCAGATCTCWCAGATACCTGTGACCAATGCTCCTGGAAAACCATGGGACTTAGCTTAGGCATTTCAGGTATTCTCAAGTGTTCCCGCCTTTGCCAACATCATATTATAAAAAAAAAAAAAAAAAGATTAATTTGAATCTGAATTTTTGTGATTTTGCTTTTTTTTTGTTTTTTTAATCCTTCAGAGCAGCCAGAGTTCCACAGCTGCATTTCTGTGGAATAATTCTGTGGGGCCTGGAGAGGTCACCCAGTCCAAGCCTGTGCCATGGGCAGAGACACCTTCCACCAGATCAGGTTACTCAGTTTACATGACTTAGATCTGCTGACAGGAGTTTTTAAAAATCASATTTTAGTAAAAGGAGTGCAGGGAATAAAATGATTGTTTGATGATTCAAATACTGTTGGGCAGAATTTCCTTTAGTATCCTTGGTCTGGTGGTTGTCCAAGCTGTGGGCACCCTTGTGCTCTGTTTTATGCYTGCAGCAAACTGAAAATGGTAAATAAATCTGTAAAGGGAAAAAATGGACCTCAGTGGCTGAGGACTCCTTTAGACTGGTCTAGCACAGCATGAGGGGAAGGTGAAAATCCCCACCCCAAAGGCTCCTCCAGGTGTCTCTGTCTGTTCACTTGAAAACTGAAAAAGTATTTTTTAAAAGAATGAGAAGAGTGAGAAAACCCTCCAACTCCCAGAGGCCAGGGAGTGATGGATGTACAGATAATACTGCACTATTTTCCTTTGGTATGTTGGGAATGTTCTGTACAGCTGTTTCACACAAACCCAATCTGTGAACTTTGCTGTATTTGTTAGAACATTCTGTCTGATTGGATTTTATCAATGTTGTGTATTATTTATTTTTGTTGGGAGCAGACTATTCTCTTTATTGCTCAATTATTTATGTTTAAATGTAACTTATGAATAAATACTTATTGTCAATGCATCCGTGGAGCTCTTTCGGAGCGATTTTTCTCCTCCCAAGGTGATTTCAGTGATGAAACAGGGTTGAGGCTGTCTGGGAGAATAGGGTGAGATGTAATTAATGTTTCTGGGATGAGCTGCACAGGCTCTAATGCTGAGTAGGTCACCATCAAATAGACTCCTGAGGTTCCTTACATGACTTSAAGGGTAACTTTATTGTACCCACTGGCTGAGCCTAAGCCAGCCCAGCCCAGAAAGAGGCTTATGACAAGTGTTAAAAAGTAAAAGTTTCATCCTGAAAGTTTAGCCTGAGTTGCTGGACTTCCAGGAGAGCTCCTCCACCATCACTGCCAGTCTCTGTTCAAACCCTTAAACTCCTCTGGCTATGTCTTCTCTGCAGCAGGGATGATCCCTCCTCCATCTCACCTGGTTGCTTGGCTGCTACTAGCAGTTTTTGCAGCAATTTTCCAGATTTTTAGTCTGCCTGGAGAGTGATCCCTGGGGAGCATTTCCCCATTTCACTGTAAAAAGGCCCAACAAATACCTCTGTGTTTTAGGGTGGGTACAGCCATCCCTCAGCCACTGCTCATTACAGCTGCTGATCAGGGATTTATCCCCATCAACAGGGCTCAGCCCTTTAGGAAATGCATCCAAAGACACATTGGCCTCAATACAATATTCTTCCAGTGTCCCCTGTGCTCACCTGTGTGCAYGGTGGCACTGGGGTGGGCAGGGCACTCCTGTCCCCCCCATTCCCTTTGCCAGTCCCAGTCATTTTTAAGGCAGTATTTACACCCCCAGTGCTCACCCCAGCCTTGTGCTGACCCCCTGACCTGCTGTCCCCTGGGCTTTGACCGGGTGCTGTGTCCACACACGGAGTAAGGGACAGGGAAATCCTGGCACTGCCACCTTCAGCACCTGCGGGAGAGAGCAGCGAATATGTGAGAAAAGTGTGGCCAGGCCATAGAACCCCTCCCTCCTCACCCTGCACAGCCCCAAAGGACACCCTGACAGGGCAGGGGATCCCATTGGGGTGTCCCCARCAGGAGGGAGCCTCACCTGATTGTCACAGTGTGATGCTGCTCTGGAGCCCGGTGGGGTTGGCAGGAGCCCTGTGCCCAGCTGGGATGGGCTCTACCCGAGTCCTCCTGGCCCAGCAGGAAAAAGGCACAACACAGCACCAATGTCCAAATTCTCACAGATTCCTGAAGCTGCAAAGGCTTTGCTTTCCCCCTGCCCGGTCCAGATAAACACACGGCCCTCGTGGAGCTCTGTGCCTGCTCTGGAAAAGCTGCAGCCCCACAGCTCCATGACTGGAGCAGGAGCTGGAGCTGGAGCAGGCTGTGATGGAGATCAGCCTGCATCACTCTTGGAACTGGAAATCACAAAGTGAGGGATCTGCATGCAAAGCACAAGGAGGCAAATGCAGAAACCTGTTTCCAATTTCAGTGCATGTTTATTTCAGCTTTATATTTATTTCAGGCAAGTGCTTATTACATGGATATCATTCATGTTGGATACCTAAATTCTGGAGCATGAAGAGCCAGTATTGTACAGCTGAATAGTAAAAATACAATATGTACAAAATTAGTTGCTTTTTCACATAGCAGATGTATCCAAACACATAAAAATCTTTACAGTCTAGTTTGTCAATATTCAGTATTTCAGTAAATTGGTAACACAGTGACACGTCCTCACTGTAAACACAGACTGCACCTGCCCAGGTGAGCGCAGGGCGGGGGCTCCTGTGAGGTGCAGGGGAGGGATGGGGGCTCCAGGCCAGCGATGGCAGCGACCGGGCTCACAATCAGCAGCTCCAGTAAACATTCCTAATGCGGGGAGCACAGCGAAATCAAATAAATAAAAGCTTTGGGCAGGAGGGAGGGAGGTCATTGCAGTGACAAAGCAGGGGGTCCCCGCTCCCAGCACGGCTCCTCATCCAGCAGTGCCAGCAGCCAATAAATCACGGGGTGGGTGCAGTCAGTCCCCGATTCCTGCTCTGTCAGCCCCACCACCCTTTTGGCTCAGGTTGTTAAGGCGTTTCCGTAAGGCATTCGCAGCGGGATCCCGCTGGCAGCGCACAGGGCGGGCACAGACTGTGGCACAGAGATCCCAATGGCACAGACACAGC